AGCTCTGGCGGACTTTGTTCTATGGTAGGTCTTAAAGGGTTAAAGCCGCTTTTCCACATTAGTACCTACTCGGATCGGCAGGTTTTCACTTACAATCGAGTAACACGTAATGTGAGTGGTCGTCATAGCAACGCTGCCGAGCATCCTATGACATAATTAGTATGTGACACGAACGCTACAACATAGGTGGACGTTGACGATATCCCTGCTGCTCGGTCTGTGGCTTTCCGTCAGACTCGGGGAGCACGGTGTGTTGCCGGGTTTCAAAAATGGCAGTTTTGATTTTCGTGAACAAAGCGTCGCTCGATGAGTCCAGCCAATCGGTGGACTCGAACAAAGGCAAATGTGTGAATCCACTTTTTTTTTTTCTTCCTCCTTTCATCGTCTGCTCGTCAGTCTCCGTGCTTTGGGTCAAAATCATAGATCATAAAACTTCACCAAATGTAAATCTTTAGCATGAATTACAGTAAAAGGTCCAAATCTAAAAACGATTGGAGTGCAGTACCAGGTAGCATGACAAAAAGCGCACAGATACAAATAGAGAACTTTTAAAAATGTATTTATTTTTTTTCAATGAAAATCACAATTTCTAGATTTTTGTAGGAAAAAGGACATTGGTACATTCAAGTGTAAAAATAAAGCTGAGTTAATCAGAAGTGTTCAGACCTTGGTGTTCTGGACAGGTGACATGAGGTGCTTTTAAAGGCAGGTTAATGTTTCAGCTCTCACCGAAGTGTCGCCTTCGCTTTTCTCCATTCAGATTAAAGAATGTGCCGCGGAGGAGCTGGGGAAAGGTTACCTGGTTTCCTGCCTCGTAGATCACCGTGGCAACATCACCGACTACCAGTGCAACCAGTACATCACCAAGATGACCACCATTGTTTTCAGCGACTACCGGCTGATCTGCGGCTTCATGGACAAGTGTCGCGATGACATCAACGCGCTGAAATGTGGCAGCATCAGCACCGGAGAGAAGGTGAGGAGAAGGGATGTCGGGCTTCAGAGGAAGAAGCTTGTTGTGTTTGACGAGTGCTGTTTGGTTATTGGTGGAGAGGCAGCTGATGTGCTTTGGAGCAGGTGGAGTAACATCTGCGTCGCTGACTCGTTGTTTTTGGCTCTTATTTACACTCATGTTGTTAGATGTATGAATAATGGGTTTGTATTCAGAACATTTGCTTGATTAGATAATTCTCTACTTTATTTTTCTTCTATTTTTTTTAGAAGATGAGATTGTAGTCAGTAATGTTCTGCACATTATTATATTGCCCATTAACTTGAGTCAATAGCTACGAACCAATAATCTGCCATATTTGTTTGTTTTCTTTTGGGGGGAAATCATGTATTTAATTTATATGAGCTGTTAAAAATGAATGTTATTAGCTTTTAATGTTTATTTCAACTTGTTTTTTCAGTTTGTACCCAACAGGTGCTTGCTTAGGATACTAATGTGAACCTATATCGTGATAATTATTGAAAACATTCAATACAATACAAAAAAGTGAAAATATTGACGCGAGCTCTAG